TGTATCTGTTTATTTTGGAGACTGCTGTGTTTTAACATTATGTATCAAAAGGATTTCGGTGGATTTTCTGGGGAAAGGATGCAGAAACGTGCACCACTGGAGAACTAAACCTAGAGAAAACTAATTTGATACTGGAAGAATAACAGATAAGTTGATGCTTTTGGATACTGTGGATGCGGCCATCTCACAGCACTTACTTTTTATTTAGTGACACTTACTGCCAGCCTTATTTTGTAGAAGTAATAAAGAAGAAGCAACTAATAGATTCAGAGAAATAAATCCTGATTTATTTTGTAAGACATTGTGTTTTTGAAATCTAACATAATCTAAAACAGTTTGGGGAAAAAATAGGTGTAAATAGTGGCGAGTGGATCGTATTTAATCCATGAGTTTTTGAGACTTCTCTATCATCAGTGTGATGTTTTATTAAGACTAACCCCCTTAAATGTTTTGTTTGTAAGATTAACTGTGAGCAGTAAATTTCAGTTTAAAAAAAATTATAATTTTCTTGAAAATATTTCATAGTTTAGACTTTACAGAGTTAATTATCAGAACAATATAAAGATTTCAAATTCATAATAAAATATCTTGGCCTGCAGCAGCAGTTCAAATGTTTTTGAGCCAAAATCTTTGAGAAAATTAAAACTGGAGTTCACTTTGGTTTGAACATCAAACACTTGTTGGCTAGGTTGTTAGTCTAAAGCAGGGGGACTCCAGGCCTCGGGAGCCGGTGTCCTGCAGGATTTAAATGTGTCCTTGATCCAACACAGCTGATTTAAATGGCTAAATTACCTGCTCAACATGTCTTGAAGTTCTCCAGAGGCCTGGTAATGAACCAGTCATTTGATTCAGGTGTGTTGACCCAAGGTGATATCTAAAGCCTGCAGGACACTGGCCCTCGAGGCCTGGGGTTCTAAAAAGTTGCTTAAACAATAAAAAGTGTATTAACCAGTCATATTTACCAAGATTTAAAACTGATTTTGTAGCCACATCTGTGAAATTGTAGGTATTTTTCAATATTTGGCTTGTTGATGGAGGGGTTTGCTCTATGATCAGTAATTCAGCATAATTAGGTAGAGCTGTTCGATATAACGATATATCGGATAACAATATAAAAACGTCTATCGTTTCATTTTACGCTATCGTTTGTTTCGTGGTGTCGCAAAATAAGCCCAAATAATTAGATGACCCCTTATGACAGGGGTGTCCAACTCCAGGCCTCAAGGGCCGGTGTCCTGCAGGTTTTACATATCACCCTGGGTCAACACACCTGAATCAAATGATTAGTCCATTGAAGGGCGATCGTGGCTCAAGAGTTGGGAGTTCGCCTTGTAATCGGAAGGTTGCCGGTTCGGTCATTGTGTCCTTGGGCAAGACACTTCACCCATTGCCTACTGGTGGTGGTCAGAGGCGCCAGTGTCCAGCAGCCTCGCCTCTGTCAGTGCGCCCCAGGGTGGCTGTGGCTACAATGCCAGCTTGCCATCACCAGTGTGTGAATGTGTGTGTGTGGTAATTTAGCCATTTAAATCAGCTGTGTTGGATCAAGGACACATCTAAAACCTGGATGTGTCCTTGATCCAACACAGCGTGGACACCCCTGCCTTATGAGCAAGCACTTTGGCAACAGTGGGAAGGGAAAACTCACCGAAAAAACCCAAACTCAGGGAGGGGCATTCAAGACAAAGTTTGAAGCTTTGGACAAACCTACAAAGCAACCAAACCACTGGAGAAAAACACACCAAAAAAAACCTTCCATCAAATATGTTTCTAATGTTTGTTTTACTGATGTTAATATTCAGGGTTCCTACTGGGCCATAGACACCAATCCTAAAGAAGACACGGTACCCAGCAGGCCAAAGAAGAGACCACGCTCTGGAGAACGAGTAAGTACACAAGTAGTTTGTATAATCCTGTTTTACCCACAAAAGGCTGATGGGGTATTGTTGTCACTCCGCCAGACAGATGGGTGGGTGGTCGGCGTGCAGCTTTGTAAATGTAATACTTTGAGAATGAGGTGACAGAATTTGGAAATTGATGCTTTAGGTGCATCTGCTAAAAGTCTCAGTGACATCTAGATCAAGATCAGAAATAAAGTTTGCTGAAAATCTTGTGAAGACAATAAATCGCTAAAGATTTTTCAAATCATACCATAGGTGCATCTACTAGGAGGCTGAGGGAACAGCTGGATGCCAGTGTTTCTGTTGTTGTTGTTTCGCTTGTTGTTTTAAAAGTCGTACCAAATGACTTCTCTAAGGATTTATTTCATTCCATATTGTCAAACCTGTGACCCCTTTAAGGTGCTAATATCAAAGTTAGACATCATCAGAGGAGAAGAAAAATGGGATTTTGCTGATGATTCGAGCATTGTTGTAAAATGTCTGAAAAGAGAATTATATGAACAGGAAAAACAAGGCATTTGAAAAAGCTTCCCAATACAAATGAGGTGCTACAGAAATGTGTGAACAGGTTTGCAGTCTTTCTCCTGTTCCCATGTTATAATGATGCATGGACAGACTAGCAGTCCAATAATGTACCTTTAAACCTCCCCTGAAAGATGAGTGTAAGAGCCCTCAGTGGTACTAGTAGCTCTGTGAGAATTGACGTCTCTTTAGCTTGTTAGGAAGCTAACATTAGCTTATTTGCACAAAAAAGCATGTCAGTGTTGGCTGTCAGGTATCGTGTGGACCACGTGATAGGAGATTACCAAATGTCAAATACAGCCATATTGTGCCAGACCATCAAGTTCTACTTCAGATATTTCTCTCAAAACCACATCTCACTCAAAGGCCAGGGGATCATCGCAGGCAGCAGGCTTCAACATCTGGTGACCATAAATCACTGCACAGTACCTCAGAGACCAAAAGATGTGGATTATCTTGTCATCGCTTGCTTTACCTCCTCCTAAATGCAGCCCAAAGTATCTTTTTACCCTTCAAGTCAATTTTCTTCTTTCTGCTGCTCATAACTACAGTGATTGTGCGCTGTGCTCGAACGCCTCGTGTCTACTCACAGATGGAGGGCTGAAGCTGCTGAGTGGACACGGTGTAACACCTTGTCTACACAAGAGGCACAGCATGAGCAGCATATTCGATGCCGCAGCAATGTAGGAAAAAACACACTTTCTTTTGTGTAATTATTACATTTTAAAGCCACAAAGTACCAAACTTTATCCGCTTTTTGTTTTGTTTTTTTCCTCTGTGGGTTATTCTTGCTGTGCACTGCTCGATTGTTATTGACGAACTTATTACTGCGCTCTAGCGCAGGAGAATGCCCGATCACCGGTGCGCGTGCCTTCTTTGTAACAGAACCAGAGCCGATGGTTGCAATTAAACAAACTTTTTGATATTCATCCTCATATTCATCCAGGTTAATCCCACAGGCTTTGGGGTTAGCAATTTTCAAGATGCCATAAAAGCAGCAGGAACAAGCTACCAGATAGATGTGAGAATACAGAAGCAGGAATGAAAATTGGTTTTGGGAAATTGATTGACAGCAGCTGAGGCTATAAATATATGTAACCCTGCATCAACTTGGCAGAATGCGGCTGGTGTGCAGTCATTAACCTGGGGATGTGAATACAAAAGCAGTGCGGAGTGAGCTCCATCGTGTATTTCAAGTCTGCTTTCACCACTGTCTGCCATCATCTCTCTGTTTTTTGTTTTTTTCCTGACTCTGACTACAGTATGGCGTGCATTTCGATGTCTGTTTTCTTAGCGGCTGATTAGCACGCTCATAAACTAGTGTCGGCGGTTAATGGCCAAAATTTTAATACAGTTCAGATTCAGTATTCAGCACATTAAACAGATTGAATTCCTCTCTGATTATTACCTCAGCGGCTTAAATGAACTGTGCTCCCCTGGCAAAGGGATGCGTACTAAAACTGCTGCCGTATGACACAAAGACTTGTAGTCAGTCACAAACGAATACAAAATAAAACATTTAAATGGCTTCAGTTCAGTGATATGAGATCTGGTGACATGCAATATCATTACTAGGCTCTGGATAACATGGCATTACTTCTCCCCGAAGCCAGAATGAGGCCACCAATTAGTGTAATCAGCTGGTGTAGTGGACCAAGCAGAAGATCTCCCAAAGTCTATTTCACAGGGGTGAGGTGTACCTCCAGTGTGCAGGTATATATTGTATTAAGCAGATGATCCTCTGAATGTTGCATTAAAGAAAATACGGCGTCTTTTATCACGATCATCCGCCTCCCTTTCTCATCCAGCCAGTCTCTGACTGTTGGCGCATCTTGATCATTATCTTTCGCTTCGTCCGTCTGCATTTCTGCTTTAGCCATCTTCCTCTCTGGGGAACTCTGACAGGCGCAGCGCGACAAAGTGCACAATCACTGTAAGGTGTCGCTCATTGGAGAAAGAATCGAGGCAAAAGACACGGAAAGGGTTGGGGAGGTACAAGAGAGGGGAAGAGCAGAAAGGAAGCGTGAAAGGAAGGTTGCGGAAAGCAGGAAAAAGACATCAAGGTAGCGAGAAGAAACAGTCAAGTTTAAGGGAAGGAAAAAGAGGTAAGAGGAGTAAGTGGGAGAGGAGGGAGGAGGGAAAGTGTTCTAGGCTTGTGTTCCAGTTAATTACCACAGAAGGCCCCGGGGCTGCCGTTAGACATATTTTCTTCACCAACGATTTTTTTTTTTTTTATTACAAACATTAATTAATTCAGAGCCTTGTCATCTCGTCTTACATGGATGGGCCCTTTGACCCCTTTTCTTACGCCTCACTTGCACTGCTGGCAGACACACTGTGGGCTGTCACATGGGCTAAGGAGAAACAGGGAGGTTTTAAGTGCTAAGATTTATGGCGGCATTACCATCTGAAAAAAAGAAAAAGAAAGAAAGGTGGGCTAAATACATCTTGTGTGTTAACTGGGATTTTGTTGCACCTCGGTTACACAGTCAAATATTTTAAGTTGGCAGGAAGGGCTAAACGTCAACCGCATAAATGCATTGTATAAATGTGTAGACAGGCAAGTGTACACGTAGTTTAGTACCTGTGTCTCCAGTGCCCTTAAGCATAATCACTCTCTTTCATTTCTGGTAGATGCTTCTCTGTTTGCCTGTCTGTCTGTCTGCCCGTCTGTCACCACTCAATTATCTCCCTGCCTATTCTTCTATTCTGCTCTTCCTCCACAAGCCTTCCTCCTGCCTCTCTTCACCTCTCTCTTGTCTTCTTTTTAAGTGCCTCCACCAGGGAACCGACAACCCGTTTAGCTGGGAGTTTATCATAAATTAAAGATTGCATTGTTACCAACCAATCCTCTTACTGTAAGCAGTTTGGGAAGGCAGGCAAGCTGTCTTGAACCCTGAAAGGAGTCAGACAAGGAGAAAAAAACATCTTCCCCAGGTTTCTTTTTTTGTTGTTGTTGTTTTTCTCTCTTTCTCTCTCTCCTTTTTTTTCTTCTTCATTTGGCAGGCATCAATTTAGCCCCTCATCGATCTTTGAATAGTTCCTCACGTCCTCACACTCAGTTAACCCTACTTTAGCGCTTTGTGAGGACAGCAGCAGAAAATGAACTGCTGCTGAATGCATTATAGGTACGTGAATAATGCATGAGGATGGCTTGATTCATCTTATCAAGTGCAAGTGATGTGTCCACTTTCCAGGCTGTTTAAGTGTCCCGCAATTTAAATGAAGCGCGCCTCGACTAGTTCACACAGTGTGAGCCTGGGGCGTGATGGTGATTCAGGAGGCTCAGTGAAGAATCATGAACTTGCAGCACACTTAGATTTCTCATAACCTTTGTCACATTTCATTTCCGTCCTCGTTTTCAAACTCCTCTGGACATTTTCAATCAGCGGAGAGCATCCACGAATGATTTCTGCATAATAACTAGAAGGCGAGACTCTACTGTTTAAAAAAATATTAGTGCACCCCTTTATACTAATATTTAAAACGATCTTGAAAATGCGTACATTTGGAAATGGTGCTTTCGCGCCGCAGTGTGGACTGCAAAAATGCCAACTTTCTAAAACGATGACGCATGTTAGTCATATGATGCAGTGATGTGACCAATTAAACTAAGAAAGCGGAGGGCATTATACAAACAATTGTTTTGTTTGCTCTCAGTTTGGACAGCCCTATTAAAGATTAATATCAGTCTGTACATGCTCCAGATAGCTTTTCTTCAAATTCTTTAACTCTCACTCGCTTTTGCAACTTTGTACTTTTGTATTACTCGCAGCATCAACTCCACCTCATTGTTAGTCCGTTTAAAAAACTCGGTGCTTTTCCTCAACCCTTTGCCGCGACGTTTCAAAGAGCCGGAAAGTAAATAAACAGCAGACGGAAATGAGGCAGGTCGAATCTTCTTGCGTTTCACACATGCGCAGTGCTGGAACGTAAGCGCTTTTGGCCGTTTCCCCAATGAAAACACCGTTTTCAAATCCATCCGGGCTAGTGTGGACGTAGCCTTACTTACACGTTTAATCAAGATGTAAGTAAGAGTAATCTTTAATAAGGCAAAAACAGAGTTTGTACAATTGTACAGTTTTGTATGACCACCTTTATTCTTCAACACAGTCTAAAGTCTCTTAGACAAGCTTTCTTATAGTTTCTTTAAGTAGTCTTCAGGAACAATTGAAGACTAGACAAGATCCCCAACACCACTGGCTGAAAGGCAAACCTGAACCTTGACAGAGCCTCCACAGTGCTTTACAGGTGACTCTTTTACCTGTTGTACCTGTCTGCTGACCTCCTTCTATTTGGATCCATCACCTGTTGTCATCAGTTTCCCTCCTTTAACCTAACCTGTTGCTGGGATCAGACTGGTATTCTGCAATGTTTTTTCAACATCTGTATCTCCCGTAACTCCTGAACAATTTGCTCAATTGAAAGAATTCCAGCATTTCCTAAAAGCAGCATTTTGCATTGATATTAGAGTCATTACGGTAATCACAGGCACGATGTCGCAGCAGCCCAGCGAGGACGAAGATTGGTTGAGAAAGGAGAGAGACGCTAATATCACTGAAAAAGCATAGAGTTGCTGCTTTCAGATGAACAGCTTTATATCCAGTTTCCTCAGTTTTGTAATTGCACGACATACCATGCCAAGATTTCAGCTAATAGCTCTTTGGGAATCACCTTGTTGGTGAAAAAAATCTTATTTTATGCCTTTTTTGTGTTTAAGTGATTCATTGGTCAGTGAGTGAAAAAGCAGCCAGTGGCCAAAGAAAGAAACTTTGAAATACCTTCAGAAAGCTTAGAGAACTGTTGTTTAAGACCACTTTAAAAAATGACAAAAAGCTCAAAGCCTTTGCTCAGTACTGTACCTGCCACAACACAGTGTAACGTGTGGTGAACCTGAAAGGGGTACAACCGGCATCTTTAGTGTTAAAGAATGCTTCACATATCTCCACCTTAAAAAGTTGCTTTCCTCCTGCAGTTTTTCATTCTCTGTTATAACCCCCTTTCAAAAGATGAGCACAGGCTAGAGATAAGCCAGGGCTGACTTTTGGCTTCATAGGGAATTCAAACCCATTGCACCAACGCTGGACGTTTTTCTGTTTTTTGTTTTTTGTTTTTTTGTTTTTGCTCTTAAGACTACTTACCTTTTCTGGTCAGAAAATGCACGATTAGCCAAAGTCTCTTGTGGGTGCAAGATTTTCTAAAGCTTAATAAAGAGTATTTGCAGAAATTCCCTTCACTTACAATGCTGCAAGGTTGATGTAGCTTTCTTTTTTTTGCCCGGTGACACCAAAAACATGTTGCCCACCACACCTTAAAATTCCCCAGCCAACCAACAAGGTTCACTGACATTGCTGCTTTTATTTTATATTCCTAGCCTTTTATTCTATAGCACAATTATAATAGAATAGAATACGATGAATTAGGTGTATTCAAACTTTATGCAGGGGGATATCAGGCAATCAGTGATGTATTTGCTGCACAGTGGTTTTTATGTCTTGTAATAGTCGCCACATTAAAGTCTTAAGGAAACATGAAAAGCAGGGTTTGCTACGTTACTGTTTTTAGCCCGTTTCCTGTAAATGTGATCAATCTCCCCAGAGTGTACTAAATCACTGATTTGAATCAGTTTACTGGGCTTATTGTGGAAGTTATAGCCAAATCAATAAAAACAGCTGGAATCTGGCCACAGATGAGAGGGAATCACTGTAGAATAAATGCGGAGACTTCAGAAAAGACATCATACGCATCACAGATTTTATAAAAAGACCTTGTGAGGTTTGTGCAAGTTTACGCAGGTCAGTTTGTGCTCTTTCACTTTTAGTGCCTGAAGCCACTGTTTATCCTGCCTTTTTTCCTTCATTAGGAAGCATTATTAGTTCAGTCAGAAACGAGTATTCTAGGCAATTTCACAACAGACTTTTTGGCTTGTCATTGTAAGAAAACCCCCAAAACATTATTAATAAAATAATAATGTTTAGTTGCCTTCACGTGGGTCGTGTTATCAGGATACTGAACCCAAATCCGCACTTATGAACATTTTCTATGCCCAGATTTTTCTCACACTGTCTCCTGTTCCTGCAGGCATCGACCCCGTACAGCCTGGAATCCGAGTCTCTGAGGATGGACTGCATCATGTCAGGAGGGGCATCTCCCACTCTGGCCATCAATGCTGTGACCAACAAGGTAGGGCACCAGCTGTTCATCAGCTGTTTCAATACAAAACAGCGCAACAGCGCAGGCATCCAAAGTTTATGTGACCGGACGCGTGGCTTCCATCCTCAGTTAGATACAGACAGAGGTTGGTTCGGCATTTGGCGACTCTCCTTTTAGAAAGAGCTTTTCTTCCATTTTGGCAAATTCAACAAATTCAAATAGGGATCCAGAGCCAGCAGAGCCAACATCATAACAAAGAAACAGCAAACAGTCAAAAAGAGAAGTAAAATCAGCGTGTCACTGTTCATTTTGACATGAGTTCATGAGGCTTGAGTTCTTTTGTTATAGCAATATCATCTACAACCTATTATCAAACATATCAGAATTGTTGTACAAGGTTACTGGATAACTGTGAGGTTGGAATTCATGCCGTGGTGGTGGAGGGGGCGTGGGTCAGAGGAGATTCATTAGCAGTAGGTTGGACTCTCTGGATTGGGATTCATTTAAATGCTGTTAGCTTCATTGACGATGACCTTATATGCTTCAGAAGCGACAGATGTTCCATTCAGAGCTTTAAAACACTGTAGTAAAAATCTTCAGAATGATCATAGTTCGTTGGCATTTATATGAATGAATATTGATTTCTTAGTTCTGTGCAATGATTAGTCATTTGTACTTGCTTGTGAGGAAAATGTGTCAAACTTTGTCACAACATATTTATAGTAAGACATAACTGCAGCAGAAGCAGCAGCAGAAGTGTCTGTTTTTCTTTTTCGCCTCTTCTTTAGAGGCTGAGAAGCCTTCGGAACAAGTCTTCACTTCTAGCAGAAAGCCTTACGCGACACAAACACACACAAGCATTTAAACACTAAACTGCGTGTGATCGCCTATGTGAGGGTCGGAGATCAAGCAGAGACAGGGACCTCTGACACCTATCTGATCTGACGCACACACCCACACAAACACAGTAATTATGCGCAGTGGGTGATCCTTTTCGTCCTGTCCCCAACCAAAGAGAAAATTTGTCCCGCAGCAGCTCGCATTACTCTGTTTGTTCTGGATGGGATGCGAAGGTCTGGACTTTGCAGCACGTTACAGTTTTCCATTCTGGACTTTTAAAAGACCCTGACTCATACTTCCCAGAATTTGTCAATATGAGACACGAGGATGAGAATTTCTGCACTTTTTTTTCTTATCAGCGTTGTAGCCAAGTACTCATGCAATTTTAATCATTATTATTATTATTATTATTATCTGGAATTCAGTCCTTTTTTGCTGTGAGACACGGCAAACAACAGAGTGCAGTGGATTAACTTGCCTACCTGAAAAAGTAGATACTGCAGATCCTTCACATTTTCCACCATCATTCTTATAACAAAGCCGTTAATAACGTTATTAATCAATGCCGCAAAAGGTATTGCAGTTTTACTAGATAATCGCTAAGACAAAACAAGGACAGAGCTTCACAAGCAGCCAACTTGGTGCAGATCATCAAGCGATTATTGTTTGGCGTGTTTGGCGTGCCACTCGTGCAGCAGGTGGAGAAACAAAAGGATTTTCATTTGATTTCTTTAAACGTGTCAGGTTGCACTCAATCCGCGCTACGCCAGGAAAGACTAAAACTTGAGTCGTCTCAGACATCAGTATACATTTTGAAACAATGATTCAGAGCACGGAGACCTTGATGATAATGATGCCGATGCCGGCATCAGTGACATCCGCCCACATCCGCACAGGTGGCGTCCTGCAGGCACAGCAGTGCGTCAGAGCTTCTTCTATAACACGTTTGCTCTCGCCGATGTTCTGTTTGCATTGGACAAAGCCTGCACTACTGAAGGAAGGCGTTCCTATAATTTGATACTGGGAATTTAGGATAGCGGGGGTCGAGGGGGTGGAGGAGGATCAGGATCAGATCATTGCACTGAGTTACTGTAATGTTTGCATAATGAAAAAACAAATCTTTTATGATCTGTCGTGATTAGTGTTTCGGTTCTTTTCTTCTGTGTAGATTTCAACCTAAAGCACCTCATTAAACCTAAAAAGAAATCCCTGTTCCTTTACTTCCACAGTCAGGAGAATTCAACTTTCACCCAGTGCCGATATTAACAAAACTATTCAAACAGGAACAGTTCAGGATTAACACTTTAACCCACGACTCAATAGCACTTCTCTATCCTTTCTTTTTTGCCACTACAAGATGTTCTGCAGTGTAGAGCACTGCCCCAGAGAGCCTTTAATGTTGTCTCACCCGAAGGCTGTATTTTCGCATTTGTCTATACAATTAAATGTTGCCTGGAGGTAATGTTGGCGCTGCGCTTCACAAGTCCTGACAGTCAAATAAAACGAGAGAAACATGATTCAACGTAATCCTGAGGCATTGCTCTTGAACGCTTTGTGATCTGCTACAATAAGATATACAGCGTAGTTACTTCGAAGCACAACTTGGTGTCTTTATCTAATCAGAATCAACAAGTTCAAGGTGGCAAAAAAAAAAAAAGCAAAATCACAAGCTTAGGGTCGGTGAGTCTATTTTTTTTCTTTCGTTTAACACAGCAAAAGGACAAATTTACATAGACCAGAACTAATATTTCCACATTTTCCTCATAACTTGCTCCATCAGTTAATGGTGCATGGGTAACTCCTTGAGTGGCGCGGCACTCACTTCAGTCTGGATATGAATTGGCCCGTGAACAAATATGAGGCAGTGTAACAAAATAGGCTACAAGGAACAATAAAGTCATGAATCACTGCCTTTGAAGGGGTTTATGTGGTGCGTTGGCTCAAATCGTTGGCCCCGTATAATAGCCTTTATTGTCATATTAACATCAACACTGTGTGTGTGTGTGTGTAGGTAGCGCTGTACAACCATGAAGCAGAAGGCAGCGAGAGTCCTGGGAGCCTGGGCGGCAGCCTTAGCAACAGCCTTTCAGAGCAAAGTTTGGCGTCCGTCAACCTCAACAACCGGAGCACCGCGGTCAGCAGTGGCAGCAACGTGCACGGATACACACCAGTAAGACCTTTGCTTTTGGTTGTTGTTTAGAGTGATCGCTTCTAGGTTTTATGTTTCTCGTGACAATTTTCCACTCAGAATTCAAGGACACTGCCACAGTGTCTGGTTTTTCATTCACAGCTGACAAATTTTAAACAAGCAGCATTAAAACTATTTTTACGTGTTCTGTGTCGTGTTTGGGTTTTTTTCCCCTGGATTCACTCGAAATAATCTGGATGATTCAGACACCGGTCGAGACACCAGATCAGTACAGAAGGTGTCTGCTGCACCCTTAGCAGACTGAGGAGGTGGTAACCAGCTAACAACATGTACGCTGGATCTACAGTACACTGCTCACTCTCATTTTATATTTGATGCTCAGATTTTGCAGCCAAATATGTTTTCGCTCATCTTTAGCAGAGCACATTCACTGTGCGTAGAAGCAAAGTAATGACACTTTCTTTGGTTTTTCAAACAATTAGGCCTAATTGTGGTCACCTATTAAAAAAATCAAGGGGAAATGGATTGTCTCTCTATTGTAGTGCTACTTTAACATGCATAGAAAGAATCAAATGGGCAACTTCAGTCATCGCTTCTTATGTGCAGAATTTATTTGTGCTCAGACAAGTGAAGCTGACCCAATCCAAAGAGACTTTTATCATTCCTTCCTTCCAGAGGTATGGAAATGCAATTCAGAGTGCAGATTGATTGAAAACTCAGTTGCTTGTTGTTGAACATTGCATTCATATGGACTGATTATTTAGCTCGTGAATTGAATTTTGTTTTGCCGCAGACTATCAATACTCTTTGCAGCCGCTCGCGCCCCTCAGGGCCGAACACCACAAAATAAATTTCAAACCTGTGGGAAATGCTTTGATAGCGGCTTGCTTCTGTCATCCAAAAATAAAACAAGAAGCAAGTTTATCTTGGTTGGTTTTGCTGTTTTTAGATGAGTGTGAGCCAGATGCTGTGTGTGTGTCTTTTGAAGATTATTTAATACTGCTGAACTCATGCTCTGAAAGCTCTTCGCGTCAAACCTCTTTCGACTTCAGACATTTTTGTAAAGCGCCAACACGACAATCCTACATTCACACCCACTTAACGCTGTGATTGGCTAGCTGTGTGGAGGTGAGAAAGGAGCGAAGGACTACACTCTAGCTCTAGCTCTTTTTTCCTCTGGTGGTTATGTAACTGCAGTACTGAGCAAAGAGTCTTGAGCCACCCCTCTCTTTATGTTTCGATTAAAAAAAAAAACAGTCTTTGTTGTAATTTTTTGAAGTGCTCTTGAGCAACAACTCTCTAGGCTTTCAGAATTGTTTTTGGACATTGGCTGCTTTTTCACTCATTTCCAGTCCAGTCTTTGTCCCTGACCGTTTTCAGACACATTTGGGGGTTTTATGTTGTTTTTTTTATTAAGCCACTTAACACTGAGCTACCATACCCCACTAACTCTATTATTTCAGCAGGTCCCACACACTGTATACAGAGGACACATTGATGCAGTCCCATGTTGTCCGCTGTTAATGTTCCTACAAACTTGGATAATACAAAGTAGAGAAGAAACTCTGCACATAGCTGTTTCGTGCCATATTTTATCCTGACAGTTTGAACTATTCCTTGTGCCTAAAAACAAGGTCCTATTTAACTGAGTAGTCTTAAATAGTCCAACTTACATGATAATGAGCTGCTTGTTTATTAAAGAGGGACTACATTAGAAAACCAATATGTTTGAACATAAACTGACCCATGATGAGCTTTTGAGATTCAAAACAACATATTAATGGAGTGATTTTGGACCCGATTAGGAGTGACCTGATGTCTGAATAACTGAAGCAGCTCCCGTTAGTTTTCCTTTCAAATCAAGTCAAGTGGCTTTATTGTCATTCCAACTATGTGCAGTGGTACAGTACACAGTGAAGCGAGACAACGTTCCTCCACGGTGCTACATATAACATATAACAGACAATCAACACAGGACTGCATAAAGTGCAAGTGTGCAAAAATTTCAAAAATCTCCCCCCAAAAAACCCCCAAACAGTGCAACACTAGGCAGAACAGAACGATACAGACACAAGCCAGTGCAGAAACAACAGTGCAATAGCAAAGTGCAACAATGACAGTGGGTTGTGCAAAAGACTGATTGTCTTTCACTACTAATGTAGTATCTGCAGGCTTTAAAGAAGTGATGCTCAAATGTTTTTGGTGTCCTCGTGACCTTTATAAGGTGCACAAAAAGGGGCGGTACACTTACACATTCTTGCTTTGCAGTCCACGAGGTTCCCTGCTGTGTCAACTGTCATTCATATTTTCACCTGTATATATTCTGGCTCCCAGTGGATAAACCTTTGTGAGCAAGTGTGCCTTTCTTTCTATTCAGTCCATTTCATTCTCCAAATCCTTGTAGTAGTGTAGCTACAACAGCGTTTTTTCCCCACTGCAATCACTAAAGTCCCTTTCGGTCAAATATAAATATGGGAACTAGACAGACCTGCATTGTGTTTGATGTATTTGTGATCGTTTTCGCGCCTGTGTCCCTCTAAACCAAATGTAATACAGTTTTAAAGGCCAGTCTCTGTTCAAAAACAAAATTACAGGAGGGCTGAAAAATCCCAACTCTTCATTATCTCTCCCTTGTAACAGCTGCTCACCTTTTTACCATCAATCACTTTTCCCTGCTCACCTCCCACCTGCATTAGCAAAGGTCAGTGCAATCTCATCTCGTTAACCTCTCATTTCTAGAGGCCATCTTTTGTTTTCTTCCTCCCTGCATCGGCTCCTCCACCTTTCGCCCTCCTCTTCCATCGTTTCAGACCTCATCTGCGGTCTAGTCCGGTGGGATCGGGTTTAGTTCTGACTCATTACCTGAAGCAGGTGATAGCCCCCTCCCCCCGCATCCCTTTGACTGACGGTGATTACTGGTGGCATTGCTGGCAGAGATCTCAGACACCGAGAGAGTTTATGGAAAGGCTGGCATTATTGGGGTGGAGGTAGATGTGTGGGAGATGTGTCGTCGTAAGTTGGCTTATATTGGCAGAGACACACTGATCAGAGCAAATTGCTTGAGTTCTCCGGGTGGATGGTGAGGAAGATGACAGCTTGGATGAAATGAGGGTGGATGAAGACCGGCTGCATTCACAATATGCGGCAGATATGTGAAGCTTCGTATTTTGTTTTTGCTTTTATGTGAAAAGAAATGAGAGGCAGCAGCGATTCCATTTTAATTGTGTGAAATTGAATTTGGTATGATCATCACTGTGAATGGCTGAATTATTAAATGATTTCTGACAGTAATTTATATAGAAAAAGTGTCTAGGGCTCGGCTGAAGTTTTAATTTAATTCATTTAAATTAAATCGTATTATTATTGAATTTTACTTTTCTGTCTGCCAATTGAAATTCAGGTGTGTTCACTTAGGTTCAGCCTATAGAGACAAAAAAGCCAAGAGGTTTGTTTCTAATGCATTTTGACTTAAAGGCAGAGGTGCTCTCCACTTGACGCCTGTGCTAGGAAGCTGGATTTGGGATTATCCAGGTAACTTCAAGGTTAACCCTGGGTTTGCAGTATTACAGAGTCCGTTCACTTCTTAGCTCTACTTACTTGTTATTGTAGCCATGGTAACCTATCCTGCAGACCCGATCTAGGTTGTCAATCAGCAGGTATGAGATCACTGCTTACCAACCAATCAGTTATCTGGGAAATAGAATCACCATTTGTGGAAAAGTCCTTGGACTTTTGTGCATGCAGGGTCTAAAGTTTTTCATCTAGACTCTTGCTGTTTCCCCGATGAGCATTAGACTGTTCTATAGTCTAATGCTGATCCCAAAACAGGGCATCTGTGGACCTTAGAGTCTAAACCTACATTATAATTATGTTTTTATATTGAATCTTTAGGCTGTTCTCAGACCCTTAGACAAAATTGAGGCTACAGCTGAAAGAATAACAACTAAATCTATCACACATGCATCTAATTCATCACATTCTCCCATATTTCAATGTTAGAGTGTTGATACTTTTATTTTACTGACTATTGTACTGTGATTTTCTGTTTCACACCGCTTATTTCTCTACAGCAGGAGCATTTCTTTCAGTTACCCTCACAGTTTTATCATTCTTTGTGAGATCAGCGGCTCGCGTGCCAGTGGAGACGTCCATCTGTGTGACTGGCCGGATGCTGCCAGCGTCATCCCCTTAATGTGAACATGCTCATAGCTGGATTAATCAATCATGAGTTAAGTTATGAAGCTGATAACCACCTTTGTGTGACAATTTACCCTGATTGCTAATGTTAGGGTAAGTGAATAAGTTGCTAATATAATCTGACCAGATGTGCCTGATTTAAGGGTTAAAAAGCAAAATAATGGCCTCACAATAGTATTCATCAACAGGCGACAGGATCTGAGCATGCTCACTTAAGACTGGTCTCAGAAAACTATGAAGTAATAAAAATATAACAGCAAAAGACAACACTGGTGCTGCAGGTAAGGAACGAAATCGGTGCTGCATATGTAAATACACTGAGGTGTGGTTCAGCTTTAGTGCAATCTCACTGTTGTGTTAGAAGCTGTTGTTTCTAACACAACAGCTAAACTTTACAATACATTTAGCCATTCAGGAAATCACTTTTTAACCAGTTCAAAGTGAAATTAATTGTCTTCATGTAATATTCTTCCTGATCCAGGCCCACAAATACACCGAGCAGTTTCTATTCTGCAAACTGTAATTCTAACTTTTTAAAATCAACAGGGCAGCAGAGTAGGAGGATGTACGAAAACGTCGAATTTCTGAATAACTAACCCCAACGCAGAGCTCCTTTCTGCTCTGTTTGATCAAAAGAATCTGTGAAAATGTGTTATTTACAGCTGTTTTTAAACTGGAGCTACAAGATAACGTGCTCCAAACCAGGTTATGCGTTTCCCGCTGGTTGCTATGGTTACCTAACCAGGTAAAATGGGAGCGACTTTTTGAGTTCAAGCTCAAAAAGTGTAAAAGAGTGTCATAGCTACCGCGGTGTAACCCAGGTCTTTGAAGCCTTGATTGTTTTTTGCTGTCGCCATCTTGGTCTCTTAATTATTTATATAGTACTAACCACAGTGTGTCACTGAGACCATTAACACAAGAGGAAAGTGTTTACAGAGGTCAAGTCAGAGAGCTGTTTCCTCACAGACTTCTATTGGACCCATGGCATTTAAGAAGAACTCGGGTTTAAGGCACTCTCACACCAGGTTAACCTATTAACCTTACTTCAGATTATACAGATGTTAGAATTAACCTTCCAAAACTGGAGGCACAGGGCTTTGATGTGCGGAGGTGTGGAGTTGTAAAACAAATAATTTTATGGTGATAATTAGTTTTTTTACATAGCGTCTATATTGTGTTATTAGAAATATGTCTGTTGTTGCTATTGAGTTTATATTAGTAACAAAGCTGGATAAATACTAGCTGATAACTTATGGAGAAGGGGTGGGATTAAATAAATGTGCACTTCCTCCCACTTTTTTGTGGAACCTCTGTATTTTGTTTATATGATCAAAATAAATAGAACATTTATTTTGATCATATATAGGTTTAACACATACGTCATCTACATGATCCGTGCAGTCCCGAGTCACCTTTTGTGCTTCTGTTTTGCATCCTGTCTTTAGATTGACTGACACAAGTTATATTATGTCACATTAGGAGCAAATATCTGAATTGTGAATCTTCTCTCTGGATACAAATCGCTGTTGTTTCGTAGCCGCGCACTGCTGCTGCAGGTGATGGAGGAAGATGGTGATGAAATACAATCCACTTAGGAGTAATCCAATAATTTTAAGCAGTTTTATGTGCGGTGAGATTTTACAACTGAATGGCAGTTCCTTGACAATTAAAACATTTTAACTGAGCCTTGGTTTAATTCGGGGAGGCACAGAAATTCTTGAAGTCACTAATATGCTCTCTAATCCTTCCATACATGCTCTGTGTATGACAAGCAGCAGTCAATAAAAGAACTAGGTGCCATTAGGTGGTGTTTTTTGTGTATTTTATAAACAGTAGAGCCAAGAGTTGGTTATGAATGAGCCAAAAAATTCTTACTATTTTTGATGAACCAGTCAAGCACATAAAACGTATGCACTTGAACCTGCAATGCCTCATCACCTTGACGAACTAAATCTTTTCAATCGCAGTGTGAATTGAGCCTTTGTCAGGCGTTTCTCTGAAACCACGACGTTCTCTGATGTTCCCCGTGCCTTTTAACAGTCGATCTGTCTCTTCTTCCTATCTGCCTCGAAGGTGAGCAGCCACTCGGAACCTTCGTCCCAGTCCTTGAGCCTCCAGCAGCCCGCCCAACCTCCGCCGCCGCCTCCTCCTCCTCCCCCGCAGCCCCAGTACGGTTTACCTGTCCCCGAGTCACGGGACAAGCAGCTCTGCTTCTCAGACTTCGAGGACCTCAGCTCTTCGTTCCGCAGTCTTTACAAGTGCGTCTTCGAGCAGTCCTTCTCGCAGCAAGGTGGGTGGTTTTGTGTGCGGATTAGTGTGCCTGCTCATGCGTACCTGTTCGACACCTATAATAACACGTGTGTTCACGGGGAAATAAAGTAAACTTCTGTGTGAGGCTTTGTGCACATAATTAACTGACAAGAATAAG